TGATTTCCTTTCTTGATACTTATTTACGCTATTAAAAAAAACTACCTGAATATTTCAAGATTCTTGTATTCGTATATAGCCAGTAGCTTCAACTATTCGCGTTGATATAATAGTGTCAGTCAATCAATAGGTACCCACTTATACAATATTGAATAGCATCAGCAAAAAAACTGAAAGAATTAGAATGAAATACATTGGTAATCCTACTAATCCTACCAATATTATAAATGAGGAAAGTTTGTGAGGATGCATGAATGTAATGTATGTATTTACGTTTTTTACTTTTTCACGCCTAAACAGTTCAAGGGATTCAATTTTGAGTTGGTATATAGATAGATCATGACGTGGAATAACACATAGAGATGGTTTCCACGGTAACGCAGTTGAAACAGCGAGGAACAGCTAGTATTATACAAGTGAGAACCTATAGATTGACTGACACTCGTATATTGATGAACAGCCGAAACTACTGAACTTAGAATCTTGAAATATGCAGGTAGGTTCTTTGTATGAATCACAAATATCAAAACGGAGATAAAAAATATCGTTTCAGAATTTATTCATAATTCAGATTCAAAACACACATAGGTTGTTTTTTAGTGATGTAGTCAGCAAGGAAATCCAATGAAAACATCAATATTTTAAATTGTGAACTATTCCATACTCCCATCTGAATAAAGGTGATGAAGTTGCCGATTTCGAAAAAAATACCCCAATTATGACATAAACTTCTCAAATTTGACCCCTCATTTTCACTATATATTTTTATTTCAAGTGTCATCAATATGTTTATACAGGCTGATTCACGGTGGATGGCACATTAGACGTTTCTGGTGAACCAGACAACGGATCACTTTGAAAATTTAAAGAATTCAACAAGAAATTGAGAATCTTCAGAATGTTCTAGGTTGTTTTTTATACGCCAAACTAGTATGAATATATTCACGAAAGCTTCAACTGCAAAAAAAATTTAAACAGAAATCATTGCAACCCCTTCATTCCCCATTTTTCATCAAACAGGGGCCGAGTAATGGTATTGAAAATAAAATCCCTTCTTTTCCTCAACCTGAAAATCAATTCACTTGTTCACAAACTATGGTGTCTTCAAATGCAAAAAGGAATAAAATTTACTCGAAAACCGAATTAATCTTTAGCACTTTCGGTGTAACTTCACCAATCATTGATGATTTGTCCTCACAGCTATTCCAATCAGTCACGTACATTACAAACTACTTCGGTTGTTACGTCTTCCTACAGAAAATCTGAAGGTATGAAGTCGGGTGACCAAGGAGGCGAAATAATTGTACACTTTCGTTCTCTCCAATGATCTCGAAATACAGGGGGAAACATTATCTTGCTGGAATATTTCCCTTTAAATGGTAGCATAATTGTTCTCTATGATTATAGCTAGTAAGAGTTGGGTGAATACAGTGTGGCGGTTTCATTTCACTTTGTTATCGTTTGATTTTCCATCGTGAAAACCCTTTAGAAATATGCTTTCAAAACATGATGTGTTGCCTATCTGGTAAACTAATCGTCCTCTTGAAGATGATCACTTGGTGATTAAAAGACGTGTCGGGGTGTTAAAAATAACGGTTTGGTGTTGAAATAGAACTCCGGTAATATTCTTTACCAAACCCTATTGGTTGAATTCCATAATCAATTATGGTGACACTCGACCCTTGTCTGGATGAGTCTTATGGGTTGAATAATGTTGAATATTTGACACTGACAACTAAAAATGTCTATATTTGTTAAATCTGACTTGAACTATGTTTCACGAAAAATGTACAGTCACGAAGCCTGAGTGCTTGACTAGATATTTAGTAATAGTAATAGTGATGAAACAACTCACCTAATCCTTGCAAAAATGAATTCACATCACAAATAGAGACAAATTTACTTCGCCATAATGACACTCTGTGAAAAAGATCCGTATGAATAGTTGATTTGATCTCAATTATAAGCAATTAATTTTTCCAAAGCGGGAATATTTTTAGGAGGATTCAGTTTTTGTGAAAAAAACTCTTCATCCATCAATACTTTAATTTCCACGATTTTTTCTGTTCATTATTGTATACGTTTTCCATTCAGTGTCAAACTTTAAAATTATTGAAACTTCATTTTCCTTTCTCTCATTGTGTCTAACAATGAGTTATGTTTGAATTTTTAAGTTCATTAATTTCCATTGCTTTTAAATGATTCAGTTTAAACCTTTATTTTCTTTGTGTAAAATTTCCAACACTTCGTTAAAGATATGATTTTCTTCTAATAAAAGGTGATTTGAATATGGTGAATTTGTTTTCTTATTTACATAGCTCGTAAGATGTTCCTGGATTCGATTCCTGAATGTTCTGCCAGTTTGACCAATATATACTTCAGGACACGTTCCACACTTTAATTGATATACCCCTGATTTCTCGAATTTGGATGTTTTGTCTTTCTTCTTTTCAACTAACTCTCCCAACGTCCTATATGCAATTTTAATATATCGTCAAACATACTTTTTACTGAAAGGAAAAAGTTCAGATTACCATTGATGAACCCCCAAATTCCTAAATTATACTCACTCATAAAACTGCACAGAGTCATCCAATTAGACCGGTGGTTTCCTTTGTCACTGCACCTTCAGTGAAATTATCAAAAAGGCTAATCAATATCGTCCCGAACTTCTTAATATTGAAATAATTATCAAGTTTCTGTTTGACTGCTAGTTTGCAGGAATTTTCCATTCGGAATTAACTTTCAGAAGTTTATTTGAAAAACATGGTACCTTTTGATTGATGCATCAGTTATTATAATTCATTCGGAAATTATTTTGTTCACTATTCTCTCACGATTTATTTATTAACACACTGTAATTCTGTAGTACACATTGAAACACTTTTTTTTTCATTTCAGGATGTATCAGAAATTGTGAAAGTAGTGGTGGACAGGTACCAAACAGTCATAGATAAAATAAGTGGTGAGTATGAAAGTAATACATACAGTACATTCCAATACCAACATGCTCATCTGAATGAGTCAGTGAATATTCAGACTGTAAATTGTAGTGAAACCCCCTAGTTTTGCTTTTCAGGAGAAAACATTTCTGCGTAAAAGTCAACCATTTCTCAGCCACCCACTTCCCACAACAACTTACATATCAAACATTTCAAATAGTAACAATAGTCCAGTGATACCTGTTTTCCGATTAAATATCCAACTTCATCACATTTTTGGCATTATGACGATAAGCAATGCCAGGAAAATTCAATAGGTACTCTCTTTATACAATTCTGAACCAAAGCTCACTATTTCCTATTTGAAATGTTCAAACTGAGCACAATTCAACTGTACTAATGAAAATAACAGAAATAAGAACTCACTGTGATTTTTTTGTTCAAGAATCCGATATGGTCCTAAATTTCATTACTTAGTTAATAATGGTAACAATAATAAAAATAAGCATGAGCAGTGATGGCCACTAACACCTGAGACCTCTGGTGAATTGTGCCACCACTTACCCGAGTGGTTCTACAGGGCTAACCACCCAGTAGAACCAAAACTTGGTTCCTGATGATCGAGGAAGGTACCTCCACAATCGGATCGCTTGGAGGAGTCACAGGCCAGGTGGTGGGGCCCATAACGATGATTTCCCTACCGATGACAACCCTGGCAGTGACAACGAACATTTTGACTAGACGCATGACCTGAGAGATAACCTTAAGCTAAGAGAGTAGTGAGCCCGCGAGAAGATGGTACATGGCAAGAATGCATGCTCTGTGGTGTAAAACACATCTGAAGCATGCCAACTTCTCCGCCCAAAATCTTACGGATTACCTATCCTATATTCGACGACAGGGCTCTATAGCTCCTTCCCAGCCTGCTCAGGAAATGGTAGAAGTGGTAGTTTCACCACTTGTTGGCACGGCTGTGGAGGAGACTCACATCATGTCACCAATGGAAACAATCGGAACATGCAAGGCGCTCCACAGAATTAGGCCCCTGACGCCACAAGAACTGGCAAGTTTGGATACCAAGGTTCATAGTTTCCCAATAGAAGAGGCTGACATCTGGCAAATTAACACCGTGTACAGCGTTATCGAATTACTTTCCGAATCGGAAGGAGGAAACCCCGGCCTTGCGGTTCGGAAGATTGAACGGCGTGTACACAAGAGGGGGGCTAAGATCACTTCGGCGAGGCAACAAGCGTCTCGTATCCAATGTGCAATGGATAACAGGGCGGCCAACAGGCCTTTCACGCCCGCAGTGCGACGAAAAGCCGCCAAACTACGACGTATCCACCACACGTTGAGTCAAGGCGTGCTGCTGACTACTAAAGAGCACTGCCTTGAAAGGATACCAATTCTTGCGGCTACTAAGAAGTCACAAGCGTGAAGTATTGCAGAAAACCTCAGGTTCCGTGAGAAACCTACCTTCTCGCTTATTCCAAGAGCCTCCAAATGTTGTGGATAATCCGCCGAAGGCTGATCAGGTGGAATCCTTCTGGAAGGATATATATGAACACCCGCAGCCAGTCAACTGAGACACTTCAGATACTTTTGCTTTCAGCAGAGAGCTTTGACAGCCTGAGCTCAATGAACTGTGCAACCCGATACCCCCGCGTGACATTCGAAGAGTACTTGTGGTTTCCAAGAACTTTGCTGCTCTAGGCCCAGATGGGCTGAACACCTATTGGTGTGAAAAACTACCAAGCACCCACCGCCATCTGGCCAGAGTTTTCAACTCATGGTTGGACGGAGAGCAGCCGATTCCGGATTGGGTAGTCGAGTGGCGTTTCCTACCTTCAGGCTCATACAAACTAAAAAGTCTGATGTAGCCTTTCTCGACCACCGACCAAGACAATATTTGTCAAAGGGAAACGGATCAATTATCGATATTTCCGAATCATGTCGGCTCACCGAACTAAGGCGGAATTGTCAACCGGACAAATGCAGGAGGCTGTCATTCTTGGCTCTTTGCGTTTACTCAGGGCACGTGATTCTCGGACCCAATGATAACTTACCTCACGGTGTGGAGGGTGTTCGTTGGTTGATAATACTGGCACGCCCTCCCGAATATATCGGGGCTTTGAGCTTTGACGTTAATCCCTGAACGATACATATGCGACGGTTTTTTCGTTTAAAATCAGCTGAAACTGAAAATATGTGTGGAGTGTGGAGACAAAAAAATGAGAAAATTACTAATCGAATGTACGTTGCCTGCGAAATTTGAAAATTCATCTTATTCAATAGCAATATTATAGTAATATTTATTCGTAATTCCATATAAATACCATAAATATACAATCTATAAAAATGATTAAAAAAAACTACAAATAAGGCTAGAGACAACATGTACCGGAAGGGTACTGTTGATCTTAGTTCTAGCCTTGAAGAAAAGAAAATTAAACAAGAGAAAAAAACAAAGAAAAAAGAAGAGAAAAAAAGAGAGGAAGGAGAGAGAGGGAAGAGGGAGAGAAAACATGTTAAATTTATTACTGAAAATTTTTCAGAAGTATAAAATCTATGAAATCAATGGCTTTCTGATTGAGCAGCGATGACATTTTTGTAACAGCACTTAAATGAAGAAACTTCACTAACTTTATATTTTGGTGGAATATTATTATACAAACTATATATATTATAACTGAAAGATCGTCGATATAGAGTGATTCGATGGGGCGGAGAAGAAAGTAACCCTTTAAACCTCAAATTTAGAGTGTGTACATCGCTACGAAATCTAATTTTGTCATACAAATATGATGGACATTTGTTAATCAATATTTTATGAAAGAGGGTAGCCGAGTGTAAAACACGTCTATTTTTCATAGTTAACCAATTGGTTTCCTTAAGTTTATATGAAATTCTGGCATATTTTCCAATACAATATGTATACCTAAGACATGATTTTTGAACTCTCTCAATGCTTAAAATGCCTTTTTTATCCAGGCATGAACCTTACACAACATCACAATATGCATAATGACTCAACACAAGCGATTTGTTAATTTTATTTTCAAACTTATTGATAATATATGACGATGAGGATGAAGCATTTTCTAACTCATGTGATTTTTTTGAACACATTTCACCCACATAGACACCCTCAAACAGTTTGAGGGTGCCTAGAAGATGACAGTACTACCAACTGTCGAAAGCGCTCGCAGATAATTTATAGAAGTTTATATCACGACGTTTCGATTGTTAGTATCCACAATCGTCTTCGGGTGATAACTGGACTTATTCCTCTGAACTAGTGTTCCTCTTTGTGGATGATTTCAGCTTTAGCCCACTTGATGTTATGTTGATGAGTCCAAACATGCTCTGCTATTCCGGATTTGCTGGTTTATCGTCGCTGTGTGTTTCTTGTACTCAGCAATGCGAACTTTCAATGGCCTCTTAGTTTCACCCATGTCTGATTCTCCGCACTCGCAGGGTATCCGGTAAATGCAATTCTTGGAATTGCAGTCCGCGTTTGGTGGCCTGGTTTTTGGAAGGCTGCTACGGATAGTGTTCCCAGATCTAAAGCAGGTCCTGATGTTGTACTTATACCCAATCCTTCTTATCCTTTCCCATAATCCTCTGATGTAGGGAAGTACAAGTATTGGTTTTGGCGGCTTCTCTTCCTTGTGGAGTTCTTGCTGTCTCCTAGCTAAGGCCTGTTCTAGGATCACTCTGGAGTAACCATTCCGTTGTAGGTCATTTTTGATGATGCCCAGTTCCTTTTTGAGCCTTCCTTTGTATTACAGAGCCCAAAATCATGGTCCAGTGGAGTCTTGATGATTCCTCTCTTAGTCGATTGATGGTGGTTGGAGTTCTGGTTCAGATACTGTCCAGTGTGAGTGGGTTTTCGATATACAGATGTTTCCCATTTAGTGTCGGTCCTCTTCACCAATACGTTTAAGAAAGGCAATTCGTTGTGGACTTTTCTCCATTGTGAAAATGATGGAAGGTCTTACGTTGCTGATGTGCTTCAGGAAAGTGTCTAGTTCTGAATTCCCATGGTTCCATATTATGAAGGTGTCGTCTACGTATATCAACCAGACTCGGGACTTCTTGAGGGCTTCTTCAATGGCCAGAGTTTCTAACCACTCCATATATATATTGGCTATAACAGGTGAAAGTGGCGATCCCATTGGCAGTCCCTCATCTTGCGTAAAGAATTCGTCCTTCAGTTGAAAGTACGAGTTTCATACAGAGCATTCTAGTAATTCCATGATTACTTGTATCGGTAAGTTTGTTCTATCTTTCAGGTCTTCGGATAACTTTTTCTGTATGATTTGAAGTGCTTCTTTGACAGGAACGTTGGTGTAGAGACTTTCCACGTCGGAACTGATCAGTTGATCCTGCTGTTTGACTTCGATTTCTCCTAGTAGTTCAACGAAATGCCTTGAATTTTTCACGAAAGATGATGTTTTACCTTGCAGTGGTTTAATTATTGGTAGTGAAAATCTGGACAATTTCTGAGTGGCTGAATCTCTGGAGCTAATGATCGGTCTGAGCGAAACATCCTTTTTGTGGATTTTGGGTAGTCCATACAAGTGAGGGGGCTGGTGTTTTTTCAAAGTCTGGTACAACTTTCTTTCAATTGATGCAGTAGGGTCTCTTACGATCTTCGTGTATTTTCCTTTCTGAAGCACCTCTTCGATCTTCTGTTCGTAGAGATTAGTATCCATCACAACAGTAGCGTTTCCCTTATCTGCAGGTGAGATCTTGATAATGTTGTCTCTCCGTAGCCCGTTCAGAGCTCTTCGTTCTTCATTGCTGATGTTAGAAGTTGAAACTGGTTCTCGATCTAGCTGTTCTCTGATTTTCCATTTGCCTCGATCTGATCAATAAGGAACTGGTGGATTCTACTGCAGCTATTATTTACAAAGTGGGCACAGATGTTAGTGCAATGGCGAAGTTTAGACCTTTTCTCAACAAAGGATCACACCATATTTGTTTGGTTGTTGCTTGTATGTTATTTCTTTGTAATTTC